ATAAATGTTTTAAACCTCTGCAAAACGATTTTTAGCGAAAACTATCTACGCCTTTCATTTGTCTTAAAACTACGCACCTCAATTATAAAGCACATTTGACAGATTCTGAAGTGGAAAGCATGCTTATCAGACACGGGCACCTCGATGCGGTGGTATTTTTTCACAAACCAAAACGTTTAGCCGTCAAAAAGCAATCGACCGAAATGGATAGATAACCCAACCGACACAAGAACAACCGAACACCCGCCGATCGAAAATGCCCCTTTTCGCGTCGCGGAGCACGCGGGTCACCCTAGTTTTTGTCTATTAAGTCGTCATGGCTGTACAGAACTAAATGAAATTGTTCGTGGAAGCACTGAGCACCCTCAAAAATGGCGCTATAATATTTTAATTCGTTTACAGCCCAAATACTACATGTTATACAAATTTTTAAACGGAAGTAAAAGTTACCATTTTCTAACGTAATTCACCTTTTATTAATTTTGAATAAAACTAAGAGGGGGAAAGTTTTGACATTTGTTCTCCAGTTAGTTCTGCCGATGACAAATGAATAAAGACTTAAGTTATTTCATTCACTTTTATCAGCTTTCGTACAGGTGGGGGCGGCCAATTTACACCACCGGCCAAATTACCCAACTCTCCCCTATGTAAGCCGGCTGTAGCGGCGTTTGTCTATCTACGCCGTTCAAAACTTGCCACGGCACGGTCCGCACCTCGGCGTCGGCCGGATGGGAAGAAGTTCATCGAAACTTTCATACCTATACCTATTACCTAACCTCACTCAATAGGCATCGCTTTTATCGTATAGCTATGGAACAGGTTCCGTTTTTCTCGTCAGTGTGGGTTGACAATCGGATGGTGAAACGGTGCGATGGTCGTTACTGGTGACAAGAGTTCCAGAAAACGGTTACGGAAAAGTAATGGATCGTGAGAAAGGGTAATGGGTGAGACCGTTTCAAAACAATGCGCCCGAGCGATTATGACATGTTACATCGTTATGAGTTTTTTTGTCGCCATTAGATGACACGTACCGCAGCCGAAGCGCTGCGCCACTGTCATGGTGGTCAACTCGAAAGGCGTTGTTTATCAATGTTTGTCATACTAACTGGTCTGGTTGCTGTGCCCTTGTTAATTGATTTATTTCTACTTTCATGTCTAACTAATTCTCTTGTAATAAGTATGAATTCACTAAACAAAAAACGGGAAAATGTCAAAGAAATTCCGTAATTGAACGTTTACGTTTCATTCTTTGCTTAGTAATTGGAACTTGTATAACTATTCTATTTTTTCATTCTATGTAATCTTTTAGATATCATTTTCTAGTATTTTAGGAAGCTGAATTGAAAAATATATGGCATTGTTAACATATTGAGGAATGTGGAAATTTTAGAGAGGTCTGAATGAATGCAGCTGAAATACCGTTTATTTAGCAATGCATATGACAAATGTAGGCATCATTGAGAACGACCGCCTACGGCTAAAACAAGTCAAAAGTTTTAAACGGCGTACTAGGTAACCGTTACCTTTCAGTTCAGCTATTAGGTATATACGCACAGTGCACAATGCAAACTTAATCCAGATTTTGGACCACTTTTTTGCCTACTGCATGTGAAACGTCGTTATCGTAACGTTTTAATTGCATCCTCCTTAGAAGTAAAAAGATCCAGTGCTATTCTTTTTGCTTTACTTCTATTGTTTTGTCGACAGCCGCAATCTCTCCGTGGTGTTTCATTTAGGACAGTCGCCTGTCAAGTGGTTTGCCGTGTACTGTATGCCTGCAATGTGACGGGGTCGGCCGGCAGTGACTGGGAAGGGATGTGATGACGGTATGCCAGCGGGCGACATGGGATAAAAACGGGGTGAAACCTCGTTAACAGTGGCACTATCAGGGCGTAGCACTAGGAGTCCGCGTTGGCCTCGTAATCGTTAGATTAAAAAGGAAGGTGCAAAATGTTTATTTGAATGCGGCAATGAAAGTTCTGCTTTTTATGCGCACAAAATACATGTTCATATTGACATGGCGTCTATTGGGAATGGTTAACAAAATGAAACAATAAGTTTTTTTACACAACTACTTGGCTTGGATCGAACTACCTCTATGTCTAAATTGAAAGGCACGAATCATCCCTACTATATCGGAACGTTTAAGAAACACTACTGATTGTATTTTCCCCCATTTGGGCCAGACATAGGCTCGTGACGCTGTGTGACCTGTCTAAAATCCGCGCGTGACGTGACCCAAGCACTGTGTAACGTTGCTGCCTCGTCACCGCGTGACGGTTCAGCTCTGCCGACCTATGCCCAAACTTCCTACCTTCGACTGCGTCCAGAGAGTGGCGGATAAAGTTTGCTAGTCATCCCGCTCTAATCGCGGGCCATTGACGCTCGGATGATGCCACCGGGGTGCGACAGAGTACCTAACCAGGCTGAGGCCATCACCCAACAATGCTGCTCCTTCACCTGGTTAGGGCTCCGGGTAATAGGCGATCGGTTTTACCTGGAAGTAACCGATTGGACTGCGATTGGACTGAAGTGACGATGTAAGGTAATTGTTAATTGCGTACCTAACCTACACCTTGCTAGCTTAAGGTGGCTACAACAAAACTCGCACGTTTGACGGACGTTATTAGCATTCTTCTACCGGGTGTTTCATTAAATGTACCAAAGAGTATCCGATTCTAAAAGCAACATAAAATTGCATGTTTGTTATTCGTGATGTTTGAATAGTTTGTGAGCCGCTGGTTCGGCAATGCAACCGTGACCTCCGAAGGCCAGAGCGGGGACTGCATGTCATGACCGTGCGGAAGTGAGAGTTCACAATGCGCTCTGAAATCGGGACTCCCGACAACCGTCCCAACCGCAATCACTAACCGTCGCCCGTCGTGCATGATGTAATGGAACAAACCGATCTATGGAGCACCAAGGTTCGAGACGAGTGATCATAACACGCATCGTGAAACGGTGGTGAAAGACCAACAATTAAATAAGGTAGCGAAGTAAGACGGTTTAACCCGCGCCCCGTAGGGGGCCGAAACACTGAAACAGCCCCCCTGTCCTTTTCCGTCGATATCTCCTAAACGGCTGAAGATATCGCCACCAAACTTTCAGGCCCCTTCCGGGCATCAATTTCACACATTGTGACCAAACATTTTTCCAGAGGCTATGGTAGGTTGGCCACAAATGACGTCAGAATGACGTCATGTTCTGCCATTTTCGACCGAAAAAAGACCTTTGCGAGAAGAGCTGTCAGGCCTACAGCTTTGAAGATACAGAAAAATGATTAGACATGAAAGGTGTAGAATTGACAGGGCTACAAAACTGCTATCTCGAATTTTTGAAATTTTTGAGTTTTGACCCCAAAAATAAAAACAATCTTTTGAATATACTACCAAAAAAATCCAAAAAGCTTTTTGAGTTTCGAAAAAACCGGAATACATGTGATAGTACCTACCGTCTTCTATCTACATAGTACATAGGTACCAAATTTCAGATCGTTATCTCGTTTTTTGGCCAAGTTATAGCGAAAAAAACTGTTCAAAATGATGACGTCAAATTTTCACCATTGGACCACCATTGGACTCCCCGTGACGAGCTGCATCGAATCGATACCCATTCGGGCATTTTATGCAAAAATATCAGCTTTGAAATTTGACCTAATTTGACCTGACCTTGACCTGACCTCCACCAAAACGTGACCTAAGCTTTCCCCAAAGGCTGCCTGACCCACATAATCGCATTTGTCATGTAAAATGGACCATAAAACATGCATCACACGACAATTTCACATTGTGACCCCCCAGTGACCTGACCTCTGTGACCTGACCTGGTATCAGTGACCTCAGATAGCGAAGTATGTGTTTGACGAATAATGTACCATCGATGGTTTTCAATAACTTACCAATTTACTCGATTTCACAACACATTTCTTGAAATGCCTGTGAACGGTGAAAATCCGACCTTTGACCTGACCTGTGACGTCATCAGTTTGACCTAAGTCAATGAAATTTGGTCACAAGTTAAGTTCCCCGGTGGGGCTATCGAACGCCGCTTGAATTTTTAAAATCGGTTGGTAAATTTCCGAGATCTTAGGGGGGCCGAAACGCCCCCCCCCCCCCCACGGGTGGTAGGGTCCGCCGGTAGCCCTACGGGGCGCGGGTTAATGTTGGCTGGGCTGTGTTCCACAAGCTAACACTCTCAGTTCGAAAAGACAACCTTAGCCAAAGCCGTGCTTAGGCTGCGTGTTATTGTAAGAAGTTCGGCGGTACAGCATAGATGCAGGCGTTTTACGTTAGTGACATCTAGCGACAATATCAAACAACTAGTTCTGTCCTGCTTACGTAGATGTAAAGCGCAAACTGATTTTCCTTCCTACACGACGGAACCTAAAACATATGTTGAATGCTTATTAATCCTGTTCGGTTTCTTAGTGCGCAGCTGGTTGGATGTAAGTACCTACCGTTAGCGTCGCTCGTCGATTGCCTGTCGTTTGGGACGGGCTGATAAGCGGCTCCGTCTGTGTAGCAGATGGTGTCTGTTGATCGACAGGGCCCTTCCTCGTTAACATCACATGGTCTGGATCAAGATATGCAATATCCACTGCCGGCTGATGCTGGAAGGATGCACAAACACAATCAGCTGTAACTTTTCGACAACTCATATGTATGTCTAGCAAGGCAGTATACTGGGTCACATGATCTTTTTCTCTAACACTCCTTACGGGCACAAAAGTGCACTGGGTCATGGGGCGTGACTTCCTGGTGGCGACGCGCCGCCCTTCTTTCCGTCACACGCCACATCTCGTGCGTGCGCGGTGCACGCACTTTTTGTGCTCTCTCGAAAACGCGACCAAGCAAAGAGTCACGGAACACGATAGCACGCCTCTCTCTCTCTCTCTCTCTCTCTCTCTCTCTCTCTCTCTCTCTCTCTCTCTCTCTCTCTCTCTCTCTCTCTCTCTCTCTCTTCTCCCTCCCTCTCTCCCTTTCTCTCCGGAATATTCCGCCTTGATATGGTCGATATATTTAACATGGAATGGTGTAATTAAAACAACGATTAAATGGCAAGGCACGTGGCGACGGAAATCGTCTATTTCATTGCGAGCAAAGGCACACTTGAGCCTTTGCCAGTCTCTCGCACAAGTAACAAGTCCAGAACGGACCCTTCCGGAGCCATGGCGCGCAACAACTTATCATCTACTCCCACTCTTGGCACAAACACGCATTCATGAATGACGAGCCCGAAGGAATACCTTAAGCCCTGGAGGAGGACCCTGGTTCCAAGGCACAGTGATCAGCCGGCATTTGTAAATATCAGATCTGCAGTTGATGGAATGGATATAAAACGTCCCTCTTTGTGCAAGCTCGCGGTTCTAGCTATTTTCGTCTTCAGTGTAGACGTTTTCTACATTTCACAGCATGAATCGTGGAAGGTCTAGCGGCAAGAGCTAGCGTTTGGTTAAGCTTGAAGATATGAGCAGTCGGCTTCAAGTCTCTAGTTGACCGTGACGTCTTAGCGCATAATGCCAGCGGTAAGCTAAGGGCGAGACTGAGTCCTGTTAGCTCAGCTGACCAACTCACCCGATCTAGGCGGCTCGGCTGAAGCTCCTCTGATCTCAGCAGCCCTGCCGACCGACTCAGGGACTCAACACCTGGGCGGCAAGACTGATACCCTGGTGTAGATCGGTCATCCTCTCAGCGAGCCGAGCGAGACTGCGCTGGAACGTCTCCTCGGAGGTTAGCGAGCCGACGGGCGGCAGTCGACCGCAGTCGCCCCCACCGGTGGGACCCACGACACACTGGTCGACCGCGGCGGGGCCTCCGTCGCCGTCAGGCAGCTGATCGCCTCGACCACTGCGGTCCTGCGCCGGGCCGTCTCGATTAGTGCTGGTGACCGGACCACCGAACAGCCGCTGGTTGGTGTCACCGGCACCAGCCTCCCTGGGCTGGTGCTGCGGTGGAGTGTCACCACCCGCCGGTCTACCCTGGCTGACCCCGCTGCCCTCTCTGGACTGACGGTGACGTGGGGCGTCACCACCAGCCGTTGGTCCACCCGTGTCGGCCTCTCTAGACTGGCGCTGGGGCGGGGCGTCACCGCCACCGACCTCTTGTCCTTCCCTACGCTCACCACTGGGGGCCGATCCCGCAGCGGCACCCGAGGCCGGCCGCGGCGGCTCGCCAGCAGCCCCGCTCGGCGGCCGCCGCGCCGGCGCACCTCGGTCCCCGTCTGCCGGCAGGCGCTGCTCGCCTGTCCCCGCCGAGCCAACCAGAGACCCCAGCGAGAGATCGGCCCACTCACGGGGGAACGGGCGCGCCGGCAGCGGCTCCGTCACGTCCAGACTGAAGAGGCTGGCGTCTCGGGCGGGCGGGGCCGAGTCCCCGGCACCTCCGGGTATTACGGAGACGCCGCCGGTGTCCGGGGACTGCAGCTTGGTGAGCAGCTGGGTGACGGAGGGCGGGTCGGAGCCGGGCACCTGCAGCAGCTTCAGCGCCAGCTCGTGCAGCGTCCTGTAGAAACAGGGGGATGGAGACCGTCATTAGTACGATAATGCGTCCGTTGGCGGCAGGCTCCAGCTGCTTGGATAAACCATACATTCATTCGTTTTCTTTAACGCAAACTATCAGAATTGAGAGCCTCAGTCACATTGCGCTAGCGAAAAAACTGACGCATACAAGATTAATGACGACAAAAACCACCCCACCCAATCACCCAATGTCTCACTCACTGGTTTTGCGCGGCCAGCCGCTCCAGCTCGGTGTCTCGTTCCGCCAGCGCCTTCTGCAGCTCAGAGTTCTCCCGCACCCGCTGCGCCAAACTGCGCTGAACGGCCTCCACGTCCTGTTTACAAAAAGACCAACAGGTCAGGTCACAAGGTCAGGTCAACAGATAGGAGTGTGGTTTAGTGTAGGGTCTATATTCTCTAGTCCACCGGCGTAATAACAATGTGTTGCACGTAACCACAGCTTTTAGCAACAGTTCCACCGCAATAAGCCCCAGGGAGTGCCTTCGGCGGTACAGTTGAGGTAATTGCCAGTCTAGCAGTACGAGCGACTTTCTCAGGTTAGCCGTCATACCCACGACCTTTGAAAAGACACCGGATGGGTTCCGTTCACCGAAAACAAGCGTACCCACGGGGGGACTCGAACCCCCAATCTTCGGTTTAGGAGACCGACGCCTTATCCATTAGGCCACGCGGGCTGCGGGAAACGGGCGCTGGCTGTCGCAAGCAAATATAAAATGTGGTATATGCTGTAGCGAACACCAAGTTCAGCCCGATACAACCACTCGCCTGGATATTAGCTAGCAACCGCATTATAATGACAATATCAATTAGCTACAGCCCAAACCACACAATGACAGATGACAGAGTCCTAAAGACCACTACCCTCCTCGCTCCCCGCACGTACCGCTCTGAACGAGACGAGCATCTCCGTTTCGCTGGTGAACTGGGCCAGCACCTGGCTCATCTGAGTCTCGTGCTCCTCCTTCAGACTCTTCAGCTCGGCGGCGTGTTTCTCTTCCTGAGTCTGCGGGCAGAGAGTGGGAAGAGGCATGTGGTCAGCCACGGCTACTGACGCGCTGGACACATGCGACCGACGCTAAGACGTCGAAATGTTGTGCGAGCTATCAAGTCAATAAGATTGTCAATGTTACGTTACTGTGAGCGATAACAATAATGGATTTACAAGTTGACGCCATCGCCCATCGCCTGGCAAGAAAAGGGGGATGGTATGATATTCATGCAGGCTTTTGTGCATTCTCTTCAGTCTTCACAAAACCTATACAAATTTTGATATTTATCTAAGCAAGCACCAACTAATTGAGAACAACTCCAAGTAAGCAAATACACTACCAAATTTCCATTTACCCCCAAAACAAACACTGAACTGATAAACTCTACCACATCGTTGCCTAGTGCTGCCACCTTCCCGAAGCTCCGCGCACGCCCCACAGATGACAGCACTGGGAGAGTAGTAAGATTCACGATGCCACGAAAATGACGACGCTTCACTGAGAGCTTATAACACTCAAAGAGATAAAAAGACAACGATCGGCACTACCTATTTATTTACTTACTTATATAACAAGATCGCCGACGGGATTCCCATTTGAAGACAAAGTCAATGCATAAAATCATAACCAAAACACGTTATCAAAAATTGGTTTCCCGCAACCCGTCCCCACGCAGCTCACCTGTATCGTATTGAGCAGGTTCTCCTTGGTCTTTTTGAGCTCCTTGGCGTACTTTTTGTACTTGGCCAGCTGTCGTTTAAGCTCTGCCAGCTCGGTGTCTGTCTCGGTGGTCCGTCGGAGGCGGTCGTCACCCCCGGCGCCGTCAATCGTCTGTCGCTGCTGCTGGTAGTCCCGCATCGCGGCGCTCAGGCTCTGGAACTTCCTGTAGGTCAGGAGATGGAGAGCAGTCGCGAGGGTGAATATATGGAATATTCTGCAGATGTGTAATGTGTGTTAGCACAGATACCCGCACATGAAGTGACACGTCCCCTTGATAACTAATGGTAAGTATCATTGTCTGTATTTCTGTAATTGCATTGGGTCTCCATGTGCTCACTATATCGCTCCCATACCGAAAATAGCGCCCTCGATCCCTCGGTCTGTTCCCACACCACCCCCATCCCATACCACTGCAGGTCCTCATTCTGCACTGAATCTTTTTCATCCCTTGGCGCGTCCCCATACCAGCCCCGTACCTCTGCATGTCCTCGTAAACTCTTGAAACTGTCCCAACCCAGTCTCCACAGTCCACACACTACAGGTCCCCATTTCCCGACTGAATCTACCACAGCCCTTTACCCCTCCCCAAACCACCTCCGTACCTCTGCAGGTCCTCGTTCTCCAGCTGAATCTCCTCCAGGCGATCCCTCAGCGGGCCGTGCTCGTCGTCCTCGGTTGCCCAGAGCGTGCCGGGCGGTACCGGAGGCACACGCACCGTCTCTTCCAGCCGGCTCAGCAGCGGACGCAGGTGGGCCGTGGCTGGAACAGGAGACGGCGACAGGTCAGATGTGGGAAAACGGGTTCCTGGGGTGTGCGGCAACTCAAACAGCGGGTCATGATTTATTTAATTCTAGTAAGAGAGAACATACGTGGAATATCCTGTCAGGCATACTCAAAACTTTAAAATGCCAAGCAGAAGCTGACCTACCAGGCCGTTTTCCGATGTCTCGCACCAGCTGTTTCAGCTGGTTGGTCCACACGGTAAACTCCTTCCAAGAGTCGGCGTGCTCGGCCTGCTCGTTCTCCGGTGGTACAGCCGGTCTGTTGGGCGCGGTCGGTCGTCCAGGCCCCGCGGTGGTCTGTCCCTGTCTCTGAGCCGGCGGCTGACCGCGGGCCGCGGGGGGACGGCCCGGCGCCGGCCGCTGCCCGCCGCCGCGGCCGGCCGAGGGTCGTCCACCGGTCGGGTCACCGCCGGCCGACTGCCAGGCGGGCAGAGGTCGGCCGGTGCGGGGTCGCGGCGGCAGCTGACGGGCCGTCGCCGACAGGGGCCGTCCGTCGCGGCGGACGGGCACGGCCGCTGGCCAGGCCGGCTCCGAGGCGGCGGTGCTGCCGGCCGTGGCGGTGCGGGAGCGCGGATCCTTGGACTTTGTCAGCACTTCCACCATCGTGTTGGAGTTCTGGTAGATGGAGCGACGGATCACATTACCATCAGCTGCAGGAGGAGCCATGGACTGCAGCTCTGCAATGTGAAACATAAGGGGCATACATGAACTCAATGTCTCATAAAGATGATAACCATGTAATATCTATAACTATGAATATCAGGTAAGATAGACATACTGGGACATGTGCAAGCTACAGGTATCCACCTGCTTAAAAACATTGAGCTTTTTACTCTACATGCTCAGCGCTCCAAGCACCTTTTGGATAGTATAAATTATGTCCCCCAGCAAACCAGAGGTAAACATCCAGGAAGAGCATATAAGCACCTTGCAATGAGATCTTACCAGGATAGAGATAACCAGGCAAAATCTACTGCAAGCAAGCCAAGGTCCATAAGCCAGTGTGAAGGCAGTCTTTTATATGGCAGATTAGAGCTTTCAATATGCAAAATCTTGCCCCCATTGGCCACCAATTCCAATCCAATGGTATGTTAAATCCTCCTCGCAACAACTGCAATGGCACCTCAGTGCAAGGCATGACATTGCAGTTGATGTGATCAGTTGTAATGGCATGCAATGTGGTGCAGGGAATTGATACAAGCAAGACAAATGCATTTTGACTTGACTCTAGTAGGCTTGCATCAAGCTTGCCATTTCTGGTAAGAGTAAAGATTTCTGCACATTTACCCAATATTGATATTTCCTTGTAACCAAGACTCTGAGAGTCATCTGTTAGACTATTCATATTTTATGACGAACTTCAGTATATAAGACAAAAATGTTATGTCTTGATTTATTGAATCTTGATTAACCCGCGCCCTGCTGGGGGTCCTGGATTTCCACGCCCTGCTGGGGGGGGGGGGGGGTGTTCAAACACCCCCCCTTCTAACTCGGCTCCTGGGCCACGTAGCGATACGCGGAAGGCGGCGTTCGAAAGAGCATAAAAAATAATGACGAAATCACTTCGGTCAATTTTTTGGTCAGGTCAAAGGTCAGGTCACCAGAGGTCATTGAAGGCAAAATTTCGCCGCTTTCCAGGTCGAATGTCGACAATTTACAAGAAGCCAACGCATAACTCGGGAACCAATAGAGCTACAGCGCTGCGGAAAAGCGCATTCGATAGCCCTATTAGCGCTCTTTCTGAGTAATTCTCTCAGATTTGACCTAGCGTCAACGGTTTTGCCTGCAGGGGGTCAAAACTGCAAAAATAGCCGATTTTTTCGGAAACAGTTTTTCTGCAATAACTTTTGACCCAAACCTTGTACGAGCTTACTTTTACCGGCATCGTGTTCCTCTCGTCAAGACGCATCGAATGAACTATAAGTTGACCTTGAAAGGTCAACTTGAAAATTTGACCTCAGTTCAAGGTCATGACCTGACCGGAAAGGGTCATGTTGCATATCAGTCGATCCGTATCGTCGAGCTGAACACATCTAAGGTGTTTTCATCGCTCTAGCATGCCTCTATCAAAAGTTATTTGCGAAAAACTGTTAGATACCATTCGTGACCTAAGATGACCTCAGGGGCATAGCCAGGGGTCACGGACACCATTTTCATGTTCAGTGTGTCTAAACCACTTGTAATTCAGTGTTTGGGAGTGTTTATAATGCTTTTCGTCCAAAAGAGGCGCATTTCAATTTTCTCCCATTGACTTATAATGGGGAGGTCGCAAAATTGACCTGACCTTAGGTCATCGATATCAAAATTCTGAGATATACATTTTGTACATGCTATTGCTCTTAGTAATCGCTGAAAGTTTCAAAGCGATCGGTCACTCGGTGTAGCTATGGCAGACATTGAAACTTTTTATGAGGTGAGGTCACTTCAAGTGACCTGGTGACCTGACCTTGAATGACCTTGGTCTGAAATTTTCACAACATGTGTAGAATTGATGTATGATAAGGTGTACCAAAAACGGCGGCGCGGAGCGCCGCCGTTTTTGAGATATCCGCGAAAAACCACAGGGGGGGGGTGTTCAAACACCCCCCCCCAGCAGGGCGCGGGTTAAATGGAATTTGAAATTGCTTTGGCAACGCAAGGTACAAATTAATGCAAAGCTGACAACCATGCAGGTGCAAACAAATCAGGAACAGCCTGAACGTGCCAAACCGTTCTGATTCTGCAATACCAATACGAAAAAGCGACAAACACAGCTCACAAACTGTGTCCGGCTGAAAACAAAAACCACTGTGACCTTTTGGGAAAGAGGACCAGAAGAGGCTTGAACGCGTGCAACGTCGTGCAACAAGAATGGTCGCACAACTCAAGCACCTCCCGTACCCCGAACGACTCCGTCGACTGGGACTACCATCACTCTACTACCGGAGGCGCAGAGGCGACATGGTGACCGTATATCAGCTGCTGCACGGAGGGTTGGCCATATCGCCAGAAAGCTTCTTGACCCGGAGCAACTCAGCTCGAACCAGGGGCCACGAGTGGAAGCTCGAGAAACCGAGGGCCACCAACAGTGTTCCATTTTTCAGACTTTTTGGTGGCAAATCACACCTAATTGGGAAAATACTTTCATCCCTAAAATATGAATGACCGACTTTGCTTCATCTCTGAAAAATGTTTCGTTTATTCCCAACAGCCAGTTTACATGTCACTCGACAGTTGCTGCACCCTCATCCTTTTGTTTCACACCATGTCAAGATCCTGACATGAAATCCTGGTTTATCAGTTGGCATAAAAATTGGCATTACACCATTTTGCAAAAATACTCCAGTTATTTACTTCCCTTTTTCTCATCCTAGGATTTTTGTTTCTTCATCGGCACACCCAACCAAAATCAAATTTTAGAACACTGGCCACCAAACTCGTGCGCAGAAACGCGTTCAGCTTCAGGGTCATCAACGACTGGAACTCCCTACCAAGCGCGGTGGTCACGGCACAGTCCGTCAACCAGTTCAAGGCCCAGCTGGACAAGCACTGGGGTGGCATCAAGGCGGTGGCATCATGTACGACACCCCCTATCCCTGAGAGCCTAGCCTGTATCCCGACACGAGCTCGATGAGAGCGGGATCCCCAGGCCAAGTGGCCTTTTCAATCCCGATCACCACGAAGGTAAGGTAAGGTAAGGTAAGGTGACAAAAACGATTGTTGCAAATTTCAATTTTACCGCATCTCAACCAGAGGGTACCTATATCATGATATGAGGCCTTACCAGAGGGTATATGAGCCTGGAGCTATACAGCATACAGTATATATATATACGGCCTTGAGCTATATAAAATATTATAATCAGACGAATCTATTTTATTCCTTGCGCTAAGCATTCAATAGAGAGCGTGAACTTTTGAAATTTGAAATTGGCTCACTTCAAGGCCCTATATACCAGGTAGGGTCGTCCGGCGATTCTACCTGATCGTGACGTCAGCTCGTGACGTCATCTGGGGGCAAGTCTTGAAGTCCCGTTTAAGTCCGTAACCGGACAAATCTTCGTATGGCAATTCTTCGTCGCGCAATTCCTCGTCCGCATTTCTTCGTCCGCAAATCTTCGTCGGCGCATTTATTCGTGTCGCATAACTTCGTCTCGCATTTCTTCGTAAGTGCAAATATTCGTAGCGCATTTTTTCGTATCCGCATTTCTTCGTACGCGCATTTCTTCGTCAAGCATTATTTCGTCCACGCATTTCTTCGTCTACGCAAATCTTCGTCCGCATTTCTTCGTCCACGCAAACCTTCGTCTGCGCATATCTTCGTCCGCAAATCTTCGTCCCCGCAAATCTTCGTCCGCAAATCTTCGTCCGCATTTTTTCGTCCACGCATTTCTTCGTCTACGCAAATCTTCGTCCGCATTTCTTCGTTCACGCAAATCTTCGTCCCGGCAAATCTTCGTCCGCAAATCTTCGTCCGCAAAATTTCGTCCGCAAATCTTCGTCCGCAAATCTTCGTCCACAAATCTTCGTCCGCAAATCTTCGTCCGCATTTTTCGTCCACGCATTTCTTCGTCCACGCAAATCTTCGTCCGCAAATCTTTGTCTGCGCATATTTTCGTCCGCAAACCTTTGTCTCCGCTATCTTCGTCTCCGCAAACATTCGTCCACAAATGTGGTTCAATAAAACCATGAAGAAATATCAGACCATCAAGTGATTGACGAATTTAATGCATGGAATGGATGATCGAAACTTTTGATGTCAGGTAGATGAGGTCTGTCAGGTGAAGCTATTGTATTCGGGAGCCGAGAATTGAAACATTCCATATCATTTGTGTCCCGGACATTCTTTTTTTTCGCGGTCGATGAATGACAATATAATCTCTTGTACCCTCGCCGGCATAGGCGGCGGAACGGGGAGGGCACCGGCCACCGGGGCACCGTTCCCCTCTTTAATTTTGGCCTTTTAACAGTAGCCCTATGGGCGCTGCATGGAAAGAATGGGACTAAAAGTCGGCAGTGCCGTGCCCCCCCCTAATTGAAGGTGTTCCGCCGCTACTGCTCGCTGGACCTATTTGTTTTCTACGTACGCCGGCCGAGGGGGGGGCGGGTACGACCCCCCCCATCGCCGTCTCGCCACTGGTGGAGCTAGCGCGTCGCGGAAAAAAACGAGCGTGTGCGCCGTTACGAGACGCAGAGGTTAATACCCGATTTTAAGGCCTTCTAGGTCAGGGGTCGGCTTACAGCCCGCGGGCCGGATCCGGCCAGGAGGGTGACGGTTGGATCCGGCCCGCGACCATCTGACGTCCGGCCCGCGCAAGTTTTGTCTAGAAGTAGAATTAGACAAAAAACACCCGCAAATGGTGTTTATAAACTCATGAAGTGTGCGAAGGAAGAACTATTGTGCCAAAGCACATTTAAGTCACTTTTATATCGGAGTCGATTTCTGAAGGAACCGCGGGCCGGAACACGACGTATGTCGATGATACCAGCCGCGGGCCAGACGTCAGATGGTCGCGGGCCGGATCCAACCGTCACCCTCCTGGCCCAGGGGCGTAGGCAGGGGGGGGGCCACTGGTCCATGGCCCCCCCCCCTTGGGCGCCGAAGGCGCCCTTTGCGATTGGAGGGCGCCGAAGGCGCCCTCCAATCGCAAATGCAATTGTGATATAATCGAATCGAAAAACAATCGCGACTGGAGGGCGCCCTCCAATCGCGAATGTGTTTACAGGGAAAATACGGATGGAGGGCGCCCTCGGAGGACGCCCATTCCAAATACGCCCTCCAAATACGGTTGGAGGGCTCCCTCGGGCGCCCTCCAACCACATTTGTAGGCTGTAGCTCTCTAAGCGTAACGGTGGTCGCCTATGTAAGCCGCTGTCCTGTAAATAAGCGCCCTCTCACCCGAAGGCGCCCTCCTGTAGGTCGCCACCCTGCTACACATTGCCGCCCTTCTGCTGATCGGCGTCCTCATAATTATTGGCGCTCTCCTACCTAATGAGCCCTCATGTGAAATTTTGAAGGCCGCCTTTCTCCCTTTTGGCACCCTCTTGTTCAGTGCCGCCCTCCTACCTATTGGTTCCCTAGTCCTTCCTGTTGAATGTTAATCGGGGCCCTTCTCCTATTGGCGCCCTCGTGTAGATCGCCGCCCTCCTAACCACTGGCACCCTCCTGTTGATCACCGCCCTCCTATCCACTGGCACCTTCCTGTTGACCAGCGCCCTCCGCACAGACGCCCTCCTGTTCGTGTCATCCTCTTGAGGAAAGGCGCCCTCCTCACCATTGCCACCCCCATTTTAATCGTCACCCTTCCGCTCATTGGCGACTTCCAGTTGATGACCGCCCTCCCACCTATTGGCGACCTCTTGTTGATCGCCACCCTCCTATTGGTGCTCTCCTGTTCCTCGCCACCCTCTTACCTGGTGGCGCCCTCCTGTTGATTGTTGATCGGCGCCCTCCTACCTATTGGTGCCCTCCTGTTGATCGCTGCCCTTCTATCCATTGGCGCCCTCCTGCTGCTCGCCAACTTCCTACCTATCGGTGCCCTACTGTCGAAACTCGGGATGTTGATCGGGGCTCTTCTACCTATTAGTGCCCTCCTGTGGATCGCAGCCCTTCTACCTATTGGCAACATCCGTTGATCGCTGCCCTCCTATCATTTATTTACTCCTTTGGCATGTTTTTCAACTTAGTCGTTCTATTGCACATAGTTGATGTCTTGCCTGTGAAAACTGCCACAAATGAACGTGCATTCAGCACAATGAATGAAGTATCTATACCTACCAAAACTATCTACGCTCTACGATGCATAAAACACGTCTTTGGTCTTAACGGATTGATCCTACTTTACGTGCATCATGGCATCTATATGGATTACGATTAAGTATTGTCAACAGGTTCGGGCGCAACAGCAGGCATCTGAAGTTTCGGTGATTGAAACTGGTTATGTGGGTACACTGTATGCAACTGTGAGAAGGCTATGAAGGCTGGTCTGAGGTAATTTGGATGATGTTTACGCATCTCGCGCTCCGGTATCAATCCGATACGGTGATCTGGTGCGTAGATATGCCACCGCCAATAAACTTTTATACATCGACACCCATGAGCCAAGCTTTCTGTACAGTTTGTGTGGCAGCGGCCCGACCAAACCTTAGGTATTTTTTACACCTTCAAATTTGGTAAAAGAGCGAGAGGAGCTTTGAACAGTGATCGTATAAAAGGCGTGCCTAAAAAGCGGAGGAAAAGGTTGTTTTCAAAAATTTCGCGCGCCTTCGGCGCAGCATTTCAAGAACACTTGACCTTTTGTGACCTGGAGTATAAAGAATACACACGATGCAAAATCAATGCAGCACGACCTATACGAGGTTACGCAAAAAAAAAACTGGTGGCATGGTAAAAAACGCCTCCCAACCCCCCAACCCCCACTGAGCGATTTTTTATCTCGCGACCGTATGGCGCCCTCCTTGGGTGAGGTGGCGCCCTCCAAACCCTTGGCCCCCCCCCTTCGCGATTTTCTAAATACGCTGCTGTCCTGGCCGGATCCGGCCCGCGGGCTGTAAGCCGACCCCTGACCTAGAAGGCCTTAAAATCGGGTATTAACCTCTGCGTCTCGTAACGGCGCACACGCTCGTTATTTTCCGCGACGCGCTAGCTCCACCAGTGGCGAAACGGCGATGGGGGGGGGGGGGGTCGTACCCGCCCCCCCCCCCCTCGGCCGGCGTGTATGTAGAAAACAAATAGGTCCGGCGAGCAGTAGCGGCGGAACACCTTCAATTAGGGGGGGGGGGGGGGGCACGGCACTGCCGACTTTTAGTCCCAAATTCTTTCCATGCAACGCCCATAGGGCTACTGTTAAAAGGCCAAAATTAAAGAGGGGAACGGTGCCCCGGTGGCCGGTGCCCTCCCCGTTCCGCCGCCTATGCCGGCGAGGGTACAAGAGATTATATTGTCATTCATCGACCGCGAAAAAAAGAATGTCCGGGACACAAATGATATGGAGTGTTTCAATTCTCGGCTCCCAAATACAATAGCTTCACCTGACAGACCTCATCTACCTGACTTCAAAAGTTTCGATCATCCATTCCAT